TGTGTGTCTGTGTGTGTGTGTGTGTGTTTTGAATTGGGGCTTGTTACTCCAGTAATACTAATTTTATCATTTTATCATTTTTAGTCAGTGAATTATTTTTTTAATTAATGTTTAGACTAATGTTTCAGTTCCTTTTGACAGGATTCAACTTTATTTATTTTATTTAAAACAAAATCCATCCATCTTCATCAGGAATTTAAAACTATTTGGCTCCTTTTATTGACTGTTTAACTTTCATCTTTTTCGTTATGAGGTTTTAGCTTCGTTTGGTTTTCTTTTGGAAAAAATACTTTCAAAGTTTACGTTCAATGGCAGTTTTAAAAAAATCAAATTTTTGGTGTCATTTTTATTTCTTTTTGTTTGTGTTTTTCAAAGAAAGCTAGCAAGGAGCAAAGAAACCACGTAGATTACAAGAACACTTTTAAGATATTTTCCCTGGAATACTTTGAATTTTTTTTTACTTTTTTCTGTCTTGAGTAAACCTCAGTGTTTACGGTGCGGCTGGGTTGTCTGAGAGCAGACATCTATTCCTGTTGCTGGTTCAAGCTCATGGACACACAAACAGGAGAACCCCCCACTGAGCTGCCACCTGTATCCACCAATCGTTACCAACGGCTGGCATCTCCAACCTCTGACTTTTGACTGATCACATGACCTGGTTGACAGTGACACTCAGGCATGTTCAACTGCAGGCCTCATAAATTAAAAGTCACCAGGTTCACGTCCACCTCCATGCAGGTTTGGATGAAGAAAAAAAAATGAAAAGAAGTTTTTTTTTAGTCTGATGTTAAATGAACTGTGGCCTTTTAGAGAAGAGCAGTGATACAATAAGTCAGTGCCTTCTGTCCGACTCAGGCTGTAAGGACTGTGTAAATATTAACAGTGAGTGTGAATAGAGCGGCTTCCTTTCTCCATCTGTCTTTTCTCATCAGTTCTTCTCACTGATCGTTGTGGTAAATAGAAAGATTTGCTGTGTAAACGGTGTCAAACACAGCAGAGGTGTCCAATAGTTCAAGTGAGGCCCAATGTAATAAATTAATACTCCAGGGCTAGTTTACTCTACTGAAGACAAACTCAAACTGTGTCAAATAAGAAATTTGTTTAATTCATAAATATGGAAGGATACATGTTAATATTTAAATTATATGTGACAATATCTGTAACTTCTGTTTGTTAGCTGCAAGACCAAACATATCAGAAATTCAGATGTTAAAATTAAATCTTCAATATAGTAATAAAACCAAAATAACAGTAAAAAGTAAACAACAGTAACTAAAAGTTAGTGCACATGTTGCTGTATAACAATAAAGTATAGGAAAAGTTGTCAAAATTAACCAGCAATTCCACATAATCAGCCATATTATCTGCACATTTGTTGTAGAAATAAAGCTAAGAGTAAAGCTGAAAGTTAACCAGCTAAAATACAATTAAATAAAGGTAAAGCAGAAGTAGGCAATGAAACTGAAAAAAGCTAAAATATTGACTGGAACTTAAAGGAAACAGACTGGCGTGCTGCTGATGTGACCAGTCAAATCTGTTGACACCTGTTACACTACAACCATTCAGTCCAGTTTTTTTAACTTAGGATACAGGAAACAATGAGACTTTATAATTCTCCCCAAACTCTGCGGTAAAGATTGCTCCGACAGTTGAGTGACGGCTGGTTTAAAACCCTGACAGAAGAATTTGTCTTTGTTTTCACATCAGAACAGCTTAAGAATATCGTCCTCATCCCAGTATCTGTCAGAGCTCCGTTTCTTTCTCAAGGACACTCCCTCAGGACAGACGCTTGGCTGTCACACAAGAATGTACCTGCGGTTCCAGCAGGTTGCCGACGGAGGGTTCGACTTAATCCGGGGACCGCTGTGCAGCCCGTTCTCGCGGATTTTAACACGTTAAGGTTGAAAGTATCCTCCACGTGCCCACGTGTCGTCACACAGCCGGATACAGAGCAACCGCAGCCCAACAGGCCGGGTTTCCAGCTCATTTCTAATCCATTAAAATGATGTATAGTACAGAACACGGGGGAAGTGGATCTGTACAACCACAGCCTTCTATGAACAGGTGCCAAAAACTTTATAGCTGCATTACTTGGTATTTTTATTTTTATTGCCATACCACAAATGACTGCATGTAATGTGAGGTAGTGATGAGTGCAGCGGAGTCAGCTTTTCCTGAGCCCTAACAAGCATCTTCAGGTTAGAATTTCACCTTGAAAGCCAAAAAATAAATAAATACAATTTTCCACTGAGAACGTTTCAGCCTGAAACTGGTGTGAATGTCTAAAACACAGGTGTGGAATCGACACCTGCAAAGAATGTGTGTAATTCAAAGGAGGTAAACGTTATTTTTCCCTTTGTTTTTCTGCTTCAGCGTGTCACTGCCATCCCCTTGGAGCAGTGGGTCACTGGTGCAACCAGACCTCAGGTCAGTGTCTGTGTCGAGAAGGAGTGACCGGCCTCAGGTGCAACCGCTGCGCCCCGGGATTCAAACAGGGACGATCTCCTCTACGGCCCTGCATACGTAAGTTGACCGTCTGGGGGGTGGACAGCTGACAGGAAATGGACGGAAGACATTTGGAAACACGTCCAGTGTGTGTGTGCGTTTCAGTTGGATCATAATTAACACAACTGATGTCATGTTCTGTCTGGTTAGCTATAGCAAAGAGCCCATGAAAAAAGGAGAAGTACATTTATTAATAATGGCTATGCTAAACTGAACACAACACTGCCACCTACAGTTTGTTTTCCTCAAATCAATGATTCTATCTGGCAATTAAAAAACTGCAGGGGGAGAGAGAGAGAAAATACAAACACAGATAAGTATCACTGCACACCAAGACAGAGTTCGCTGCACGATATATTTTCCGACTAATTATTGTCGATAAACGATACCATTGTCAACCGTATAAACCACAGAAGACCTGACAACCTTCCATTTTAAACTAAAACAAAGAAACCAACAGCCTTCACTCCTCACCCTCATGACCCAAGTCAGGACAAGAACCTTTGACCTTCCAGCGTTGAACAATAGTTCACTGTGCATTTGCAGAAGTCACACACGTCTCTGTGTTGATAACAGAGTTTCATTGGTGGACACGGACACTCCCCAGATCTAATCATTTCATCCTGCGGCCATTACCTTCACAATTTAATCAAAAGTTGATTCATGATTCTCAGAGTCACAGTCAGCCAAAACCTCCTGTAACCTCCCTCCAAACAATGGAGTCAGTGTTTTTATTTAAGTTTGAATGATGTGTTTTCATATCAGTGACGTGTTTTAGTTTATGTAGAACCTATCCATTTACCTGATGCCCCGGAGCCTCTTTAAATAGAGACAGATTTTTTTTAATACTTAGCTGTCAATTCCCTCATTAATTCCTCCTTCAGCCTCATTTGCTCCAGGCTCAAACAGATCAAAGCTCCCAGCGGAGTTTTAATCCTTTATCAAACAGAGTCGGAATTACAAAGAAGCCGCCACGGCCGAACTCATTTGGCCAAACCTCTGAGCAGAGGCAATGACAACACGAGCTGACCACCACGGAGACGGTTCACCTCCAGCTGATCTGGTCCAAACCTCAGCTCTGAGCGCTAATCCACGTGTGCTCACGGGCCTTAATCGCACAAGTGCCAACAACTACGGGGCACTAACACCACGTAAGCCGCCCAATCAGGTGATAGAGTCAGCCCACGGCGGCGGCCAGGAGCTTCACACCTGTTGTGCTGCGGCTCACAATGACCCCCCCACCCCCACCCACCCAATCATAGCCCCACCAGTGAGAGGAGTGTGTGAAAAGAAAACCAGTTTGTTTTCCCTGCCAGACCACCTCAGGCTATGTTTAGCATTTCCATCGGAGCCTCGTCCACCCCAACCTCACCACGTCTTAACACCTCACCTCCTCTGGACCCTCTCATCACACAGACCAATAGGAACCGGCCAACCAAGTGTCCCACGGTGTGACGTTAGCTTGAAACAGAAGAACAGAGGAGCAGATCTGCAGTGTTTAGAGAATGCCATTTTGTCAACAAAGTGCCAGTGAATGTCAGTGTTGCTCCTTCAATGGTGTCTCAAAGTTCTTGGTCTCATTCCCTAGTTTCAAGGCATGTGACCAACCACATGTCATTGGCTGAATTAGCAGTGTAGCAATTTAAACGAACGATCCAACTGTCTTTTTTCATATTCCTTTCCCTCCTGAATTTCATCATCTGTTCTCTGTTATCTGATGGTACCTTGATGGTTATAAAACCCCATGACGACTCAGCTGCTGAGGCTGTATGTTAAAACACGTCAGCTTATTTTCCTGCCCGTGTCACTATATATTTGATTTCTGTCTTTCTCCGTAGCATAAAAAAGTCACATTTTCAGACGACTGCACTGCAGTAATGTCTTTTCCACATTATTTAATAAGGCAGCAATTACATAATGGAAACCCCCGGTAAAACCTCTGCTGATGAACAGATTATGTTGTCAGCTGGGATTTTTACTCCAAATCCTGTCCTGCCTTTGAATCAGCAGTTTGGTTTAATTAGCTGTTTTAGCTGCAACAGTTCAGTGAGAACCATATAAAAAGCTGCTATGATTCATGGCAACAGTTCAGTGAGAACCATATAAAAATGTTTATATGAATTTTCAGATGAAATAGAAATGAAATTACATTAATATTATAATAGTATATGAAATTAATATCAATTTTATTTCAAGGTGTGAATCATACACTAGGCATTCTGTACTGTTTTCTAACAGTATATATCTTTAGTATAGTATGTACTAATAGCACAATTTAATGAATTAATAAATATGATGAATAAATAACAACAAATTAGGACAAACGATTTTGTTCATTAAAATATTGGGTTTTTTTTTCTTTTTTTAGATATTATTACTAATGATGTACATTATGTCTCCTGACATTTTGAGGGTGTACATTTCATCCACAAAAACACACTGACTGGCGGTGGGGGGCGGGGGGTGTAGGATGTCAGTGTCCCAGTTGTGTCCAAAAGGACAGGACATGGTTACAGGGGACTGAGTGTGATGTTATATGGCTGCAGCGTCACACCGAAACCTGGACAATGTTTGGTGGGGACCTGCAAGTCGTCCATATTCCATTAAAGATAACTTTACTGACACACACACACACACACACACTTGTTTAGAGTGGAGTGAACTTTATTAGGTTCTGTGAAACGTTTGAGACGAAACTGTGCTAGTTTACCATTTGTATCACATGTGTCTCTGGACCAATAAAAGGACCACACAACCAGACAGCGGCAGGCCTCACACACACACACACACACTTGTTTAGAGGGGAGTGAACTTTATTAGGTTCTGTAAAACGTTTGAGACGAAACTGTGCTAGTTTACCACTTGTATCACATGTGTATCTGGACCCAAAAAACAACCACACAACCAGACAGGGGCTTTCCTCACACACACACACACTTGTTTAGAGGGGAGTGAACTTTATTAGTTTCTGTGAAACGTTTGAGACGAAACTGTGCTAGTTTACCACTTGTATCACATGTGTATCTGGACCCAAAAAACAACCACACAACCAGACAGGGGCTTTCCTCACACACACACACACGCGTGGTGACTTGTGAAGGTATTGTGTATGTGTCCCTGTCACCTGTGTGAAGCAGTGTTTGTGTTTGCAGGGGTCCAGGAGGCTGCTCCCACCCCAGTGTACCAGCCTCAGTACAGCATAGGTGAGCAGGAGACACACTGTCACTCACTCTGATCCGCTCAACCACTACGGTGAATACACACATGTACTTCCTGTAGCCTTTGGCTTCAACATACCACAGAGAATACCTGAGGTCACCAACATGTGTTTGTTCTTGTCCTGGACGCAGCATGTCTGCAGTAAAAGGTAACAGAGTAGCAGGATCTTTTTACTGGGATACTGGACAATCAAATATCACAGTATAATAAAAAATAACTACGGAGCAAATACGTTTTAATGATGTAGAAAACATAGTTAGTTTTTGTCATCAATCTGATTAGAAAACACTAAATTGAATGTGAAATCTTTAGGTGTTTCAAAGTTGGGGCCAATTCTTTTGGACTAACTTTTAGCTACCCATAGATAGCTAATAGCTAATAGTTAGCTCTTGGGATTTATTTTTACATTTGTTTGGCCTTTTTTTTTAGTATTATTATTTTTGCAAATGTAAATTTCTGTTCTCTAGTTTGTTGATGTTGTTATCTAGCATCACATGTGCTAATTAACAATGTTGCTATGTAATATCTACCATTGTTTTTGCATACTATTAGCCCAACCACTTAATATTTATTACTAATTTTAAAAAAGTTCTTCAAACTTTGTGCTACTATCGGCCCAAATTTTAAACCGTTATTTATGTATATATATATAAATATATATATATATATATATTTTTATATATATATATATTATTTAGCTTAATTGTCTAAGGACTAACTAACTAAGGAGATCTTTAAGCTAATTTTCTTTTGCTACATTACTGGCCTAATAATAAACCTGTGCTTTAATTTCTACATAGAACAACAAAGAATTCAAATGTAAACTGATCCACCTCTGGTCCATGTCAGTCATACACTGTACTCCATGTCTGTGGAGTCGTATATCAACACAATGACATCAAACTTCTGCATGGACACGTTTTGAACACGTGAACCTGCTCCACTTCCTCTGCACCACAGTCATCTCACGGCCTCCTAGTGGTGGCTCACGGGCAGTACCACCTGCTACACTGGGGGGTGGGGGCTCATCTGTTAGTCACAGGATACTGTGATGACAAATAGAAGCAGCCATATTGTAATTAGGGGAGAAGACATGTGCTGATATGTCGGCTGTGAAATGATTCACCCTCTCATCTGATCCACTCTCCCTCTCCCTCTATCTTTCCTTCTTCCTGTCCTCTTCCTCACCTCTGTCTCTTTTTTCAGCCGAGGAGTGCGTCTCCTACTGCCAGCCTTCTCAGGTTAAAGTCAGGATGAACTTGGAGACGTATTGTCTCAAGGACTACGGTGGGTGGACGGCCAGATAAACTGACTTTGACCAGGAAGCTAATGTTGTCAAACAGCGCTGTCAGTGGACACGCTGGAATGAACGGAACCATTTGGTCTGGGAGCAAAAGTGAAATCCACACTAAAATCTGATTGGTCCACGTCTTGCACACACCTCTCTCTCTCTCTGTCTCTCCCTCTCTCTCTCTCTCTGTGGACAATCATGGCAGATGCACACTCTCTCTGCCTTACAAATACACTCTTGCTCGGTTGCCCATAATTCTGGGATATTTGCTGGCAGTAAATGTGGAGTTTCCTGGAACTGCTGTTTTTGTTGATGTGGAGCAAATTTCCCCAAATTTCCCCAGATTACACTGAACATACTGTAGAAGTTCTTGAAGCCTTGAACGTCTGGAGACGATTCCTAACCATGTTTGAAATTCCATATTAAATGTTTAATATATTTTTTTTGTGTGCATATGGCAAATATTTATTCTCCTCTGTTCTATTCTAATTCTTTTCTGTTGTATTTTGAATTGTGCCGTTCTGCTCTAACCTTCAGTGCTGAAGGTGCAGCTCAGGGGTATGGAGCGTTCAGGTCCCTGGTGGCAGTTCTCTATCCTCATCCAGACCGTGTTCCGCACAGGCTCCACCTCCCAGGTTCGTAAGGGCCCACATTCCCTCTGGGTCCCAGACCGTGACCTCGGCTGCGGATGCCCCGCCCTCCACGTTGGCCGGACTTATCTCCTGATCGGAGCAGAGGAAGGGGAGCGGGGCTGGGGCCCCGAGGAGAGCCGCCTGGTGGCCGACCGCTCCACCCTGGCCCTCCAGTGGCGGGAACACTGGAGCCCTAAACTAAGGGGCTTCCGGGGGCAGGACAAGAGGGGCCGTTGCCCGCCCAAAACCCCAGACAACAACGGGCAAAGGGAGCGTTCCAAACTGCAGTCGGGCTACGTCCCCCCACACCTGCTGACGGACAAAGACACTGAGAGTGTGAACACGCACACGCCTCACACAGAGGGTGAGGTGAAAAGCACAATGGCCCCCTCCCTCCCCCCCACTACACCTGCTCTGGTGTGTTCAACTCAAGGTCCTGAATGAAACAAAAAAAAAAAAAAACTGAACATCTGTTGGTGTTTGTGTTACAGACTGACAGTGATGTATGGAGTTTTACTGCAGCACCGAGCAAAAAAATAAAATATCTATAAAAACACTGAACAACAGAAAAAAAATCATTAAAAACTAAAATTTTAAATATTTCAAAGTTGATGTTTTTTTTTTTTAAATCCATAGATGTCATTGTGTTTGAGTCGTATTTATTCTTTGATTTTTTTTGTCATGTAAACACATGGAAAAATGACAAACTTTTACACATTAAAGGTAAATATTCTACCTCACATTTACATCACACAGATATTCTTCACAGATGGGTTGTGTTAATGAAAAATATATATTTTTCTTTGGTGTTTTATAAAAGGTTTTGATTCATACAAGGCCAATAAAGTATATTTGATGTTATTTTCTCTTTGTCTTATATTTTAATTTTTTTTTAAACTTTTTTAAATGGTAAAATGGTAAATGTTTTCTTATTTTTGTCAATTAATTCACAGCGTATTTTCCTGCTCGTTGCTACATCAGTTAAGTTTGTTGTTATGTGAATTTATTTCTTTTAAACGACATTCTAATCTAGGACTGTAAAACAGATTTTGGATATTATTTTAGGTGAATATTTACGTGTGACAAAGCTATTTTCTGGCTAACATTAAGATATATTAGCTAAATTAGGTTTTCCAGGGCCTTACTTGTTTTTCTAGTTTGGGTTATTATATTCTGATGATCTTTTATTATCTTTCAAGGTATATTTGTCGAGCTTGGCCAGAATTGTTTTAGTTTTGTGGCAAATTGGGGGACATTTTTCTGTGGTATTTGAACAACAATCAGCTCTGAGCTGAACCTATACATCTATACATTTCTGTCTAGTCTTTGGTGGTGTCAGACAGCTGACACGGAGACCAGACCAACTCCTCAGAGAGCCGTGCACCAGCCTGGACACGGTTCTAAAAGTGTGGCTCTGACCTGTCGTCATGGCTCCTGTCTCCATTTGGCAGAAATGGCGTCATGGCCCAGGGGAGAAGCTGCTGCTGTGATAGGACAGATGGACCAGTTCCTATTTGTCCAGCAGCTTCCATGTTTTGGTAGCAGCCGTGTTGGTGATTGGTTGTTCTGAGGTCTGTGATTGAGTGTGAAAAGAGGAAAATAGACTCGCTGACTGACGAATGGGCATGTGTGTGTGTGTGTGTGTGTGTGTGTGTGTGTTGGACTTCTAGAAGGTCTACACTTCCACCAGGACGTATAACCCACAGCTTTCTGGGGCCAAACACACAGGGGTCTTCAGACAAAGGCTTTTGTTCAGGTTAGTTTGGCTTCACGGGAAAAATAAAAAAACAATTGCAGGCAAAAACGTATTAAATCACTCACTTTGTTTTCATTCGTTTTTCTTTTTCCATCAGTGCTAAATACGGCTGCAGAAACAGGGATCTACGGTCTTTATTTATTTAATGCTTGGCTAACTTTTCGGGCTAATATTTCGGGATAGCTAATAGGTAGCACATATATAATTCTAAGTGGTGTTTTGGCTAACGCTAAGCTATTTTTAACCTTTGTAGGGGGGGTTTTTCTATAGACAAGCTGAAACATGAATTGGTCTAAGATGAGAAAATAATTGAAGAAAAATTCATCACCACTGAATAAAGTTCTGCAATAAATACATAAATGTGTCATTTACAGCATGGATTATATTTTACTATATAATAAACAGTCTGGATTACAATCCACATATTAATCACAGGAACAGTAATAGGTCATTTATTAAATAAATCAATGAACAGAATGAGAAGTCTGGCAATTTGTGCTGAATAAGAACCAGATTTTTATTTTATTTTATTATTTTATTCAAACTAATAAAATCTATTAGAGGTGGAAACGCAATGAAATGTTTTTTTCTTCTTTTTTGATCAAATGTTTTGGTTTCTTTTTAAGTAATGTTTAGTTTTTTAATGGAAACTGTGAATCAATCACCGTTTAGAGTTGATTTTTGTGGAAAACGTTTCAAAGTCTGTCCAGTATTTTACATTGATTTGTTTCTGGAAATAAACAAATTAGTAGTTCCCTTCGAGAAAGTTAGGATTACCATTTAAATTTAAATGACCATAAAAGCGAGTTTATTTTTTTAAAGTGGGGCACAGACTCATATATTTAAAACATGCGAAAGTATCAAAGTTAATATTGTGTAAACAGTGCCTCAGCAGTGTGTCAAAACACATAAAAAACTGCAGTATTGTAATTCCTGGAGTGTACTTTAGTATCTGTAAAAATAAAAATGTCTGTGTGTGTGTGTGTGAACACAAAACACCTGCTGTGGGGCCGACAGGAAACACCTGTCAGCGGTCGTCCCAGTGCAGCTCCCGTCTACATGAAGGTTTGATCCCCAAACACACACACTTACACACACTTACACACACTTACACACACTTACACACACACGAACAGACAACTTAAGCTCCGCAGCTCTGAGCCGAATAGGACAGAAAGAGAAGAGAGTTATCTATGGATTTGTTCACAATAAACCTACAACACACACACACACACTTTACTGAGGACAAGCAGAGGCCTGGTGTGTGTGTCTGTGTGTGTGTGTGGTATTATGTTTACAACCTGCTGAGGCTACATTTTACGAGAGGTGACTCCAGTGTTTCTGCAGCCAGAGCCAAAGTTCAACTAGGCTTCATTCAAAGACACACACATATTCTTATCTTAATGCGCACACACACACCTCACAGACAGAGAGAGAGAGAGAGCAGGAACACTGCAGATGAACTCGGCCCCGTACACACCTCGTGCTCCATTAAATATCACTGAAGGAAATATTGGTGAATGTGTCCTTGTTTTTCTTTCTGCTTCAAACTCTGTCCACTTTGAGCTCTTTCCAGGGTTACTTTGAAAAGTTTGGGTTGTGTGTTAGGTTTTGAGCTTTTTAGCTAACTTTTAGCTAATACATGGGCTACTAGGTGACATTAAAAGGTATTTTAATCAATTCAAGTTTAATTTTTTTTTTTTTTTTTTGAGTAAACCAAACACATTTGCTTCTGCAGGATTCGTTAATTTGTACATGGAATAAAATCTGCAGTCTTGAGTTTCTCAAAAATAGAAAAGCTTTTGTTTCCAAAATAACCTGCGACAGAAGAGCATTAGCAATTGTGCTACAAGCATTTTGTTAGTCAAATTTTAACAAATGTAAGACAAACCTATTGTATTTTGTTGACAAAATTGTGAATAATTTGTACAGATCTTTATTATTATTAGATTTCAGCCACATTTATGTTGGTACTTATATTGCGTAACTTGGTCTTTGGTGTTTATATTTAGGCCTTTTTCTAGCCGGCGTATGTCTGTTTCTGCTATATTTTAATATTATTTTATCACAGACATAACCTAAATAACGTTTTTATATAAATTGTTTCCTTTTTGTAATTATTTTTTATCAAATACTTTAAGTCAATTTTGCGTTTTAAATCATTAGCTGTGGTTACTTCCTTTCTTATTCTGGTCATTTTGACAGATACTGTAGTTATTACCCTGATGTATCTGTTTTCCTCCTTGTATTCGCGGAACAATTAGCTTCTTTATCGTTATGATAACTTCATTAATGTTTCAGCCAACATTTATCAAATGTGAATTCCTTCAAAGATATTCAGCCAAAGTTGTTATTTCACATTGACATCAAAGTTTAAAGGGACAGTTCACATACTGTGCAAGGTAATTGTGCAGCATTTCCAACAACTGTACCGTCATGGTCTCCTGTCTCTACGTTTGTTTATCTCTTCCTCAAAGGCTCCACCAGCTCATGTCCAAGTTGGACAGGTTTCACCATGACACATACATTCAAACACACACACACGGCTTCTGTTAACCTGAGAGGCGGAGGGTCAATCCCTGTGATCTGAAGCCTGCATGCCTTCCACAGAGACACGCCGCCGACACAGAAACATGAAACCAGGCTAGATTAGAACTAATCAAGCACGGAACGACTGTGCACAGGGACACCATCACAATCACACACACACACACACACACAGAGAGCAGCGTACAGCACCAAACTACATCCATGTGTCTAGAGTGAAGTTTTGCTCATTTTCTTACTTCATTTCACGTTTAACCTTTTAATAAATACGTTTAACTGGAATCGACTGTAAAACTGGCTGAGAAGTTTAATAAAACTCAGAACGTGATGGAATTTTTGGTTGTCAGAAGTCAAGCTGTTCTGTTTGGCCCTGCGGCCGACTGTGACACCTGCAAAGGTTTGAAGTACCAGGCTAATATTTGAGCTAATGCTTTCCTGCCCAAAAGCCAGACTTTCACTATTTTAAACCATTATTTGTAATCTACTTTTATTGCTTTTGTCGACTTGTAGTTGTTTATTCTAAAACAATTTTCCCCTGATTGACTAAAAATTGGCTTTTTTTAAAAAAAAAAACTTGGTGCTAGCTTATAGCACTCGGCTTGCTTTTGCAGTTAGCTTTTTTAGCTTTATTTATATTATGAAGAATATTTAACCAGTATTGTGTTAAATTATAATATAATTATACAAATATTTATACTTCAACTTTAAACTAATTTATTTAATTATGGCTGACCTTTATTTTAGATAAATGGTCTTTCTTAGTAGTTGTATTAAAGGAGAAGGTTGCTGTATCATGCACTTGCCTTAACTGGGTGCAAATATAGGAAACAGAGTTTAGACTTGGGGGTCGGGGTAGTTTTGAGTTACAACAGAGACAGAAGGAACGGTGGGCTCCTCCTCTCTGCAGAATTGGACTTGAATTTTTCCCACCAGTCCTAGGTGTCGACCGGTCGTCTGTTCGAGTCTTTAGTCATATACGACTAAGGCCTTCCTGAGCTTTGTAGTCTGCAACAGGAACCTCTTTTTGTCTTTGTAGTCACCAAGCGGAACCTTATTTTGGCAGCCACCGTGTTGGAGGGGACGGGTGATTTATGACGCGACAGGGCAGCGCGGCGATCCAA